CCACCCACACCTGAGAGCTGGTTGTTAGCCTTTGCCAGCACACCACTGCCTGGAATCAGGGGCAGGGTGGTCAGAGGACAGCGAGCAGAGCCTGTGTCCCGGTGGCCTAATGGGAAAGTGTTTCAAGCACAGATGATCCTCTGGACCAGGTGTCTCCGTCAGGTCAGCAAGAGGAAGAAGAGGAGGGACCCTTGGATTTGGCGACACGGCGGTTTCCAAGGCGAGGCGGGGAGGAAAGGCTGATTGGAGGCGGGTTGCAGAGGCAATGGGAAGAAGGAATTGGGCGGAGCGTTCCTGCAGGGGGAGCGTGGAAATGAGGGGTCCAGGAGGATGACTTTAGGGTGGGCGATATTCACCGCACGTCTGCATGCTGGGCGCGAGGGTGAGAAGGGGCGGTGCGGGGACGCCCATGAGCAGGGGACACGTGCTGGGGCAGTTCGCTCCTTGTCCAGGCGTGGACGGGGCTCAGAGGCAGGTGGGCCGGGAGGCTGTCATCTTAATGAGGAGGGGGAGGAGGAGACGGACGCTCCCGGAGGCAGGAGAAGGTATGAAATGGTCTTCTCAGACACTGACGGCAAAAACAGGCTCGAGAAATGTGGGACTGCCACGCAGTATCAAGGGTCCCTTGGGATCGGTGGTCGCGAGTCTGGTCAGCTGTGCGTGCAGGTGCAGAGGTGGGTTTGATGGTGGCTGGGGCGTTGCCGGGCAGCACGGGAGGGAAAGGCAGGCAAAAGGGAGCGGAGCAATGGAGGGACCGCAACAGGGACTGTGGAATCTAAGCCGGCGAAGGGAAGACAGAGCGTGGGGGGCAAGGGACAGTGAGAAGGGGGAGAGAGGGCTCCGCCTTCAAGGGTCGAGGGTCCCAGTGGGGCTGAGGGCTCGGGGGCGTTTGCGTGTCAGGAGGGAGCCGGAGTGTCGGGAGGTGGTGTCTGAGTGGGTGTTAACAGGGTCGCTTGTAGTGGGTGCAGTTCTTGGTAACGACACGGTAGAGGGCCCGTCCGTGGGACAGAGGGGCTGAGGCCAGGTGGAGGACAACAGGGTCACTGGAAGAGAGGTCAAGGGGCTGAGGGGCCAGGGTGCTGCCACGCCATCCAGATGGCCACGTGGGGAGAAGATGGGCAAGGTGCCACGTGACATGGAGGGATGAGGGCTCGCAAAGAAGGTGACATTTAGCTGGAGCCCTGGCAGGGGTGAGGGAGCGAGCTGTGTGGGTATCTGGGGAGGAGCATTCTAGGCAGAGGGAATAGCCAATGCAAAGGCCCCAAGGCAGGACAGCCTGGCATCTTCATGGCACAGCAGGAAGGCTGGCGTTGCCAGAGAAAACTGAATAGGAGGTCAGGGAGGTGGCAGGGGCTGATGGGGAGGGGCCTCGTATGCCGTTGTGAGGACTTTGCCTTTTCCTGAGTTTGATGGAAACCACAGCTTTTGAGCAAAGGAACAGCACACTCTGCTACGTGCAGGATAGACTGGGGCTAGGGCGCGCGGGTGGGACTAGGGAGCCCAGTGAAGAGGGTGCCCAGCAGTCTGGGTGAGTGGTGGTGGTGGCTTGAACCTTGGCCTTGGCAGCGGAGGTGGTGGGAGGTGGTTGGTCAGATGGATTTCCTGTTGAGTTGGAGGATTTGGAAGTGCCAGATTGGGAAGAGACTTGAGCATGGGGTGGGGGTGTCCACAGGTTGCCATCCATGCGCTGGCTGTCTTGTGCCCTGCGCAGGTTGGCCTCCTGGCCAGAGCCACTGTCCCATTCTCTCCAGCCCTGGCGGCCCCAGCTCCCCAGCGCTGGCGGCCCCTCTCCTGAGCACTGGGCTTCTTCCTCTCTCCCCTCTCTGCCAGCGATGTGCCCAAGGGCGCCAAGACCTTCGGGGTCTCTGGGAGCTCAGGGGTGGAGGTCTCTGTGGTCTACAATCCCACACGGGTGACAGAACCCACAGGCAAGGCCCGCTGGCCCCTGGATGCCAAAGTGGATGTGGTTGTATCCGTGGACACAGCCAGTAAGGACTTAGACGACCGTAAGGTAAGAGGGCACTTCCTCATAGTGGGGGGCTGGATCTCCCCACGCCCCATCCCAGGTAAGAGCCCCCCGTGTCCTGTTCCCACTCACAAAGCACCCCACAGAGCCCACAGAGCCTCTTACAACTCCACAGACGCCCAAACACACAAACCCCGCCAACGCCCCAACATCACACGCGCATCCGTGAATGAAAACTCCTCCAAAACACGAGTCCACCTAGTCACTCCTCAAATTCACACACACCCTCCCATTAATCCCTGTATTCAGCCTCCACACAGACCCCACAAGAAGCCCCCACGGTCCACAGCAACACCCCGTGTGCACACGTGCTCGCGTGCATGCCGTCCTGTGTGCGTGTCTCCCACGCCTGAGCAAGCCTTCCCTTTCCTTGCCCTTCCTGAGCTCAAGTGACACCTTCCTGAGCTCAAGTGACACCTTCCTGAGCTCAAGTGACACCTTCCTGAGCTCAAGTGACACCTTCCTCCCTCACCCCAGCCCCAGGCACCTACCACACACGGTGACTCACTGGCTGGTTAACATGGCTTCCGACAGGTCCCGCCTCCCCTGCTCGCTAGCCGCAGGACTGCAGGCGTGGCCCGTCGTTCCCCTGTCCACTGGGGCCGTCCTTGGGGACCTGGGGGTAGCGCTTGGCGTGGGCTCTGGACTGCGCTGCCACTGCTCTGTGACCACCTCTTGTGGTGCTGGGGGGTGGGGGCGGGCACTGTTCCCATTTTATGGATGTGGAGCCGGAGAGTGACTTGTCTGAGTCAATGGCACTAGTCAGCTGCTCCCATTGGGGTCCGCCACACCCCTCCCACCTCCCCGCCCTGCCCTGCCCTCCTCTGCAGACCTGCTGTGGGGGCTGGAGGCGGCAATGAGTCCTGGGCCTTTAGCATCGTGAGAACCCGGGGTCTCCGTGCCTCCGCTGCCTCTAAGCAGGGCTGTGGAGCTGTGTCCCCCGTTTCCCGGCCGCTTCCATCTCTGGAGGGGGTGCTCTGCGGCCTTAGGGCTAACTGTGTTCCCGCAGGTGAAGGTCTTCTACTTCGGGGAGCCCGAGGGGGATGCCCTGGGCCACAGCGTGCTCTACCTCACTGGCGCCGGTAAGTGCCACTTCCCTGGCTCTGCGTATGTCCCCTCACCCCTCCAGGTTGGCTGTTCGAGGGTCTTGACAGCTCCCTTGGGGTGGAAGGCCCGTGGCCAGCTTCCTCCACCATCGGAGGAGGGCTTGGCTTCCTCAGAGACCTTTCATCCACCCTGGAGCCGCAGAGATCGAGACCCAGTAGTCCCTAGGGCTGCAAGGATCTAGAAACTTCACTGCCAGGGACCAAGAGCTGGACCCCAGCAGACCTCCTCCACGGAAGTCCCACGTGGACTGCGGAGAGCCACGTGCCCCTTCGGCCGGAGCCCAGGGCAGTCCCTAGGACCTCAGGGCTCACCCCCAGCTGCCAGTTAAGGGCCACCAGCACACGATCTAGAAGCCCAAGGCCACCAAGAGCTAGCAAGTCAACACGCTCAGATATGCAAGTAATTCTGGAGCCAAAGACTTGGTCCCCTCCAGCTCCCAGAGCCACAAATGTCACCCACACCCAGAACCGCACACGGGTCAGCCACACGGGCCTCCCAAGTGTTGGATAGGAGCCCCAGGGCAGAGCGTCCTGGTCCGCGTGGGCTTGGGAAGGGGTAAGCTTGGCCGACCTGGACATTACGGGTGTGAAGCCGGGGCTGGGGGAGCCCCTGGCAGCCTGTCTCTTTCCCTTTGCAGACGTTTCCCTGGACGTCGACACAGGCCGCACAGGCACGGTGAGGAGAAGCCGAGGGGACAAGGTGAGACCCTCCTGGCTACCCCAAGACTGCAGGGTGGACAGGCAAACCTATGGGCGGTCCTGGGGTGGAGTGGGCCCTCCCTCCAGCAGGGTGATGGATTCCCAGGGCCTGAGGTGTCTGACAGTGTAGGGAACCCATCCAGGGACGGCCAAATTGGCACGAATGGGCATTAACTTACACCACGTGACCGACATGCTGAGTGACGGCTGGAAAACAGCTTACCCTCTCTAGGTCTCTCTTATGCTACCTTGGAATTGGGATTGGTTCTCTTGCTTGCTGCTTTCTCTATTTTGAGGGCTGTATTTAGACCTCTAAACATGGTGGGTATTTTACAAAAGGTTGTTGAGTGACAATGAAGGCAAGAAGAAGATAAGCCTTCTGGTAGAGGAAGCTATGGTGGTCAGCCCCAGTCAGTCCTGAGGAGTGAGAAGGAGGATGGGGTAGGCTCAGGCATTACCCCACAGGAAGTATCTGAAAGCTGTCCTGGGAGGGATGGAGGTACAGTTTGGAGGGAAAGCCCCTAGGGAAGTGGCCTGGATAACAGGGCTTTGTGGACAAGGTGGGGAAGGGCTGCCATGGATGGCTGTGCAGGTTGTTCACTGCACAAGGGTGCTTGAGTAAGGTGGCAGCTGTGATGTAAATCATGTCTGGGGGCCTGGTGCAGGGTGGCATCTTCCCAAAGGGATGAACAAAAATGCTATATAGGCTAGCAATGGCCTTGTACAGTCCCAAAGATCTGGGTTTGAAGGCCAACTATGCAACTTGGGGTTCACCTCCCAGAACCTCCCTTCCCTCCTCTGTGAAATGGGAACAGTGAGCCCTGCCTGTGTGTGTGGTGGGGTAAAGCGGAGGCGTGACAGGGAGAGCGGCGACCACAGAGGCAGGCAGGGCTCCAGCTATCTCTCCTGCTTCATCTTGGACCTCAGCTTGCAGGGCCTGCAGGATCACGGGTGGGTGTCAGAGACGTCTGTGGGACAGGCCTCAGGAGAGTGCTGAGATGGGGACAGTCTCCCAAAGATTCTCCAATGCCCCACCCCAGGTAGAGTGAAAGCTCAGCCGGCTTTCAAGGGCCATATCTGGGTGTGGCAACGACGGCCTCGCTCCTCCAGTGCGATGGCTCGATAGAGCAACCACGTACGGTTGTGCAGTTTGTTCACTGCACAAGGATAGGGTGGCTTTGGGTCTAGAGCCTTACCTGGAGCTCCAGTCCCCAGGTCTATGATTCCTCTTTAAATCGTTAAGCAAACCCAGAATACGGAAGTATCCAAGGTGACAAAGCAGCCAGCCCTGGCCGTGTCCAGAACCCCTGTCTGGAACCCCCTGGGGCCCACTGACCTCGAGCCTTCTTGTTTTACTGCAGAAAACCTGGCGCTGGGGCCCTAAGGGCTATGGGGCTGTCTTGCTGGTGAACTGTGATCGGGACAGTCACAGGTCCAGGGAGCCCGACCTTGCCAACAGCCAGCTGATGACACTGGATGGTGAGTGACACAAGGCATTGCCAAGGGGAATGGGGGGCGGGGTGGGGGATGGGAGGGGAGCCTGTTGGCGGGGTGGGGGGCAGGGGTGTCTCAAGGGGGCCGTTCTCCCCAGACCTGCAGGACATGTCCCCGATGGTGCTGAGCTGTGATGGCCCCGACGAGCTCTTCCACACTCACAAGCTGGTCTTAGACATGTCCTTGTCCGACTCCGAAAGAGTGGGGGTCTTCTGTGCTCGGGGTGAGTGGCCTGGTGGGGCCTCTTCCGTCCTGCCCCAGCCATTTCTTTCCCCTCCTCTCCCATCGCCCTCTCTTTTCTCCACCACCTTTTCGTAACCGTCGCCACAGCTAACAAACAGCCCCTCCACCAGCGCACAGCGCAGCACCCGGGAAGGAGGTTCGACAGCTTCTCCCATTTTACAGAGAGGAAAACTGAGGCACAGGTGCATGAATTCACTGTCACACAACCAACTGGGGGCGGGGCAAGCACTCCAACCCAGGTGTCCTGGGCACCAAGCCCCTTCTCCTTCCACTGCCCCCAGCGCCTGTTCTGTCCCCTGGTCGGTGAGCGTGGACTGACCAAGCACCGTCCAGGCGGCGGGGACGGGGCGAGAGCCAGCGAGGCTGAGGCCCGGGCCCTGCTCCCAGAACCCGGCTGCTCCACCAGTTTTTATACTAATCTAAGTCTGTGGCTTTAAAAATATACCAACCCTTAATCCTGAAGTGCCTTTACTGGTTTCGATAAGTAGCAACAGGCCTCTCCCGCCCCTTCCTGCTTCCCCTTCACCCTCCTTCAGACTGACCCAGAACTCCTTGTTCAGGCCGACTGTGCCTGGCAGGAGCTGGAATGTTCCTTCGTGTGCACCAGTGATGGTGGCGTAGGCGGAGGACCCAGCTCGAAAACACTTAGGGCGACCCAGAGCGTAAGCACAGTCTGCATAAGTGAATTGGCAACTTGGCTGGTGTAGGACCGCTGATCGCTCTCCGACTTCGTGGATTTACCCATCTAGATATTTCACACAAACACTACGTGGCCTTTTGTGTCTGGCTTCTTTCACTTAGCCTGATGCCTTCAAGCTTCATCCGGAGTGTAGCACAAATCAGTACTCCGTTCCTTTTTATGGATGAATAATGTTCCATCTTACGGACATAACCACATTTGTTTATCCATTTATCCACGGATGGACATTTGGGTTATTTTCACCTTTTGTGCCACGTGCTTTTATCTCTTTATCTGGTTTAAAGTTCACATTAGCCTCATGAGAAATGTAATGTTACTCATTTTATAGATGAGGAACTGAGGCTCAGAGAGGTTGAGTCATTGAGCCGAGGTCACACAGCTTGCACAGAGCAGAGCTGGAGAGGAACCCGAGCAGATCTAATCACAAAGGCGGCTCTGCCCCTGGATTCCTGGGCTGGCAGCCCCACACCCCTGTCCCAGCACTGGCCCCCGGCTCTGGCTCTCCCTAGGTGGGAATTCCCTTGAGGACTACAAGCAGGTTCTGGGGCCCAGACAGCTGTCCTACAAAGTCGAGCGGCAGCGGGGGGAGCGGGAGATCAGATTCTATGTGGAGGGGCTCGCCTTCCCTGACGCGGATTTCCTGGGGCTGGTTTCCCTCCACGTCAGCCTGGTGGACATGCGGGTATGTACGGCACTGGGGGTGGGCACGAGGGCTGAGGGGTTGGGGGACCAGCTTGGAGGCTCCAGGGGCTGAGGCCTGATGGGCTTGGGCTTGGTAGGGGTCCCTGTAGGGCCCACTGAGTCCTCATTGTCCCCTCAGACCATGCCTGCGGTGACCCTCTTCACAGACACCGTGGCCTTCCGCGTGGCCCCCTGGATCATGACCCCCAACACCCAGCCCCCCGAGGAGCTGTATGTGTGCAGGTGAGGCCCCCAGCCCCCTGCAGCCCTGCCAGCAATTGTGACTTGTAGAGGTAGGGGCAGGGTGCTGCGCTGGGCTCCGCCCCCCACTCAGACCAACCGATCTGTTGAGAGCACTCCGGGGGCAGAGCTGGGTGCAGGGCAGCTGCAGGTGGCGTGGGCCTGTTGGCCTCACCCTGCCCTGAGCAGCTAAGGCCACTCTGGGGTCACTGGCTCGAGCTCCAGCATCCCTGCCCCTGGCCTGTCCCGCCGCGGCAGCCTTGGGACACCTTGGCTTTAGTCTGGGCAGCGGGGCCAGGCCCTGCTCAGGCTGCCAGTGGCCACAGGGGACCTAGACATGCTGTGACGTGGGCACAATCCTGTGCCTGCTGAGGACATGGGAGCCCAACCTCTGGGGCTCACTGTGAGCCCAGCCCCGCCCGGGGCCCTGGTCCTTCTGCCGTCTCTCAGCGTCCTGGTCATGCCCTTGGTGGAGGGCTGAGCCTCCATTGGCCAGGCCCCCCCCAGGCCTCTGTGTCAGAGGTCAGACCATTGGAAAGGGCCACAGTGGAGCGGGCCATAAATCAAAAAGCTGGGAAGGGTGTGGCCAAACAGGTTTGCTCTGCTTACCTGGGTCTAGGTGTGTGCAGGCATTCAAAAGGAAATCCGTTCCTCCTGTTTGCTTGCTAACTCCACCCTGACCCCTTTGCTCAGGCCAATTGTGTGGAACAGGGGTAGACGGAGCCACCTGCCCCTCACTACTGCCCTCACCAGTGAGATGCAGCCCTGGGTCACCTCCGTGGCTACTGCTCAGACTACCTGTGCTGGGTGAGGTGCCCTGCCTCTGGGCTCAACAGCCTGGGCTTACCCCTTACCTTGTACCTGTCACCTGATATGATCTGGGGACATTATCCATCTCCCCCGTGAGTCCATGAGGCTGTTGAGAGCAGGGACTGTGTCCGAACCCCTGTATCCCTAGGGGCCCAGCACAGACTGAATCAAGGTCCCCCGACCCTCGACCACAGTCAGAGGTCGTCAGCATGCTCCCCTCTCTCTGTCCGCTACAGCGTGATGGACGCTCATGGATCAAATGATAAATTTCTGGAAGCCATGTCTCACCTGGCATCGAAAGCCAACTGCAAGCTGATCGTCTGCCCTCGGATTGAAAATCGAAATGACCGCTGGATCCAGGTGGGCGCAGAAACAGGCTCGGGAAAGAGTTGGGGGTGCCCCGGGAAGCCTTCGGCTGGGCTTGGGGAAAGGGAGGCCTGCACAGGGCCCTGACCAGCCTCGGTCTCCCTAGAGGAGCCAGGCCAGCCTGGGGGCCGGGACCCTTGGGGGAGGCTTTCCTGCTGCCTGCGTTGGCCCCAACTTCTCTTTCCCACCAAACCTGGACCAGAGGCCTTCCTGGCCAGGGTCCCAGGAGGCCTCACCTCCACCTCCACCCACTCCCCAGTCTTGGGGAACATCTGCTGCCCTGCCTGGCCTGCCCCGGGCCTGGCGAAGCTTGCCCTGCTCTGAAAACCACTCTGAGCTCACTGTGGCTTTTTCACCTCTTCCCTCCCAGGACGAGATGGAGTTTGGCTACATTGAGGCCCCGCACAAGTACCTCCCCGTGGTCTTCGACTCCCCCCGAAACAGAGGCCTGCGGGATTTCCCCTATAAGAAGATCCTGGTATGGGCACAGGGCAGAGTGGGGAGCCCAGGCAGTTCCTCCCGTGGGACCCCCTGTTGAGGCCTCATCTGGGCCTGGTCCTTTAGGGCCCAGAGACCAGGGAGAGGGGCAAAAGGACACAGGAGGTGCCACATCAGCAAACTGGGGAGTCAGTGGGTGGTTTGGGTGGGAGATGCAAATGATATGCAAACAACACGCAAATAGCCAACAGCCATGATTGCCCCTGTTCTGGGAGGGGCAGGACAGCCAAGTTCTCCCAGGTAAAGGGGCCTGTTCCCCAAGGAGGGATCGGCCCAGTGGCCAGCCCTGGGGAGATCAGACTGCCTGCTGGGGGGAACACACCCTTAGTGAGGCCACGTGGCTCTTGTTTCTAAGAGCCGGGGCCTGTGTTCAGGTATCAAGTGTTTTCTGAACACCTACCATGCACTGGCCACTGTGCTACTTCCTGTGCGTGGGGTGGCAACCACAGCACCTGCTACCATGTGTTGAGTTCCAGGCACTGTCCCCGAGCTTCCCACGTGTTACCTTGTATAATCCATGGGCACTCCCATGGCCAAATGCTATTAGTTATTTCCTTTTTACAGTGAGGAAACTGAGGCTCAGGGAGGTTAAGTAACTTGCAGGAGGCCATGCTGCAAGTTAATGGTAGCACCAAGGTGCAAAAGCCTCCAGGGCCCTTGTCCTCAACTGCACCGCGTTGGAGGCAGCCATGCAGTCTCTGCCGGTTTACCGGTTCCCGCTGTCCCACTACTGGGACAGTGCAGGGACTTTTGGAGGCGGGCATGCTGTCTCTGCCCGTTTACCGGTTCCCGCTGTCCCACCACTGGGACAGTGCAGGGACTTTTGGAGGCGGGCATGCTGTCTCTGCCCGTTTACCGGTTCCCGCTGTCCCACCACTGGGACAGTGCAGGGAAAGTCCCGGAGTCTGTGGGTACAGGGAGCAGGGACCCTCACCCAGCCTGGAGGGGCAGGTGACAATGAACCCTGCAGGTGAGTGCATCAGCTGGGGCCAGTGTGCGGGGTGGGGACCCACCTGACCCCGAGCCCCAGGTTTAACCGGTAGGCGCCAGGGGATTTTTCACCGATTTCTGCTTTTATCTGAATTATTTCTCTTCTACTTTCTTTGGGTTTAGTTTGCTGTTCTTTTTCTAGCTTGAAATGGAAGCTAGAGTTTTTCAGCCTTTTCCCTCCCTAATAAATACACACATTAGAGTTCCGGCAACCCCCAGCTTCCCGTGAGATTCAATGTGCTGCCTTGCTACCCCCTTTCACTGCAAAATATGGTCTAATTTCCACGTTGGTTTCTTCTTTGACCCACGGGTTCTTTACGTGTGTGTTGCTTCATTTCCAAACATTTGGGGGTGTTTTAGGTATCCCTCGGTCACCGACCTGTACTTTAACTGCTCGGTGCTTGGAGCCCAGGGGCGATTTGTAACACGCGGTGGAGGTGGTTTTTCAGGTGCAAGGTGCCAGGGGGTGGGAGTCCTCCAGCACCATCCCCCCCACCCCAAAAGCTGCCTCTTCCTGTCCTAACTGACCCCTCCTTATTGGGGTGGGGGCCTTGCCGGTCCTTCCCTAGGGTCCCGACTTTGGATACGTAACCCGGGAGATCCTGTCCGCTGGCGCCTCCAGCCTGGATTCCTTTGGCAACCTGGACGTGAGCCCGCCCGTCGCGGTGGGCGGCGTGGAGTACCCCCTGGGCCGGATTCTCATCGGCAGCAGCTACCCCAAGTGAGAGGCCAGGGTGGGAGGGTGGCGGAGGGCTCGAGGGGCCGAGGGCAGCATCCACCCTCAGCGCCCCCTCCCCATGGACACGGCTCCCCAGTCTGGGAAGTGGTGTCGGCTTCCTGCGTACAATCCTAGAATCGAAGACTCGGAGTCCGAGAATCTCAGATTCAAAAGCTTATAGAATCTTAGGAGGAAACTCACAAACTAGTAGCCTTTGGTCTTTTGGCCCACATAATGTTATAAGCTAATTAGTCACCAACATTGTGTGTGTGTGTGTGTGTGTGTGTGTGTGTATCAGGCTCACACGAATAGCCAGATTTCTGGCTTCTCTTGAAAAATCGGAGAAACCAGGGCGGTGATGTGCGGTCCGGCACAGCAACGGGGGAACGGACAGGGGGTCCTGCCCACACCCCTGGAGGCTTCTCCGACTAAGAAGTCAAAATAGTTGCTGTCCTAACAGTGGCTCAAAAGGGCCCAGAGGTCGCCAAGTGACCTGGCTGCCGGTGAGCAAGTGATTGGCCAGGATGCCCGAGTGACAGAAGTGAGTCAGAAGGCCCCGCCCTGAACAGCCACGCTGGGGCAGGAAATGCGGTATTGAGGGTTTAGTGCTCAGACAGGTGACTGTACCTGCTGAATCCCCACCAATGGGTCCGCATCCTGCCTGCAGGTAACCAAGGAGTGGGGTGTGCAGTGTAGGATCCTGGTGGGGTCCCCTGCTTCCTGCCTGGAGGTTACGCCTGCCACAAGCCCCAGAGGTCACCTTCCCATTTGTGGGGGATTAGCATGGAGCCAAGGTGTGCCCCAACTTTCCCCTAAGCCCTGGCCGACCATCTGGTCTGTGGCCCAGAGGAGTTGGGCAGTGCCGAGAAGGTCACACAGCCTCATGGGGTGAACCTGGTGGCGGCCTCAGGGCTCTGGGTCAGGTGAGTCGAGGCTTCCTGCCACAACCCAGGCATGGAGCCGGGCGCCCAGGCAGGCTGCCTGGGGCTGAGTTTGGCTGGTGTGGGAGGAATGTGCTCACCCTGCTGGTGACTCAAGCCCAGACTCTACTGTGGGGCGGGATCCTGCCCACATTCCTGGGGGCTGAAGGGCCTTGAGGCCTGAGGGCAGTCTTTCTGTGACGCAGGGAGGGACCCATGAGGAAGGGGCACAGGCTTTGGAATCAGATGGACCTGGGCTGCCACTTACTAGCCATGTCATTTTGGGTGTGTCACCTAACGAGTGTTGGTGCTCAGTTAATTCATTTGAATGTATTTCTAACATGTTGAAGGTACTGATGTTATATCAGTGAACAAAGCAGATACATTTTAAATGAACAAATTATTGTATGCTCCATGCCTCAGTTCCCTCATCTGTAAAATGGGCCTGATAAAAATCCCTGTCCTAGCTACATAATCAGCATGGCTGGGGGTAAAGAATTCATGTAAACCACCTGCCGAATGCTTAGGTATCATTTACCTGGCTCCCTGGAGTGGGTCTGCTTTGAAGCAGCTTGGAACTTGCTAGGCAAAATTTATTGACCACCTACTATGTGCCACACCCATAATGTTTTTCCCAGGTTACCTCATTTAATTCTTACAACAACCCTCTGAGGTTGGGACTATTACTATCCCCCTTTTATAGACGAGGAAGCTGAGGCTCAGAAAAGTGCAGTTATGTGCGTTTGTTCATGCATTCATTTACCAATTCGATAAATATTTATTAAGACTTCATGGCTGGGCGTGGTGGCTCACACCTGTAATCCTAGCACTCTGGGAGGCCGAGGCGGCTAGATTGTTTGAGCTCAGGAGTTCGAGACCAGCCTGAGCAAGAGCGAGACCCTGTCTCTACTAAAAATAGAAAGAAATTAGCTGGACGACTAAAAATATATATATATAAAATTAGCCAGGCATGGTGGCGCATGCCTGTAGTCCCAGCTACTCAGGAGGCTGAGGCAGGAGGATTCCTTGAGCCCAGGAGTTTGAGGTTGCTGTGAGCTAGGCTGACGCCACGGCACTCTGGCCAGGACAACAGAGTGAGACTCTGTCTCAAAAAAAAAAAAAAAAAGACTTCCTATATGCCAAGCCTGGGGCCCTCTACTGGGGGATGCAGAAGTAACCAAGGAACTAGCCCTCGGGAGTTTACAGTCCAGTGGGGGAGACGGGCATGCATGCAGTGGCACCCAGTGGGATCAGAGAGGATCACATTTAATCCCATGGGAGGTGTTTAGAAAGGCTCCTTGGGGGCAGCAGCTACCCTGAGGCGTAATAAGACAAACAGACTTTGTGCAGGTAAAGAAAGGAGCCTAGTGAGGTGGAGTGGACCCGAGTTCCGGGCAGAGGGAACCTCTGGGAAAATACCTGGAGGCCAGAGAAAGCGTGGCTCAAAGGCAAAGCGGAGGCAACTTGGTACGGTGGTGGGTGGCGGGGAGATGGGTGGGGACAGACCGGCCAGACCTCAGGCGGAAGGAGGCTCCTACAGGTCCAGGTCGGGGGACAGCTTGGGGAGCCTGCGGCCACTCTACACAGATGCCTCAGGAGGCTGCTGTCCCCTCCAGCAGCCCTGGCACTCGGTCTCAGGGACGAAGAGCTCAGAGGATGCGGGCTCGGGAACGAGAAAGGGCTCTTGTGGTCCCCAAGGACTTTGCTCTTGTCTCTGACCCGGTCTCCTGCCCCAGTCTCTTTATCGCGCCGCGACACATGTACATCCTTACCCGCCCACCCCACTGGCCTTGCCGGCCAGCGAGCTCAGCCAGGAGCCTTCCCTCTGCGCAAGGCTGCAGGGGTCTGTTCCGGGAGCTCCCAGGCATGGAGCAAGGGCCCTGGGTGGGAAAGTGAGGGGTCTCCAGTGTGGTCGTGCCCCACTCCATTGTCTGTTGTGTTGAAAATCAGGAATAAGTTCCCTTGGAAGACAGATGGGACCCTGAGGTTGAGAGAGGGATACCTACTTGCCTAGGACCACACAGCAAGTTAGTGGTCTAGTCAGAACCCAAGTCTCCTTCTTGGGCACCCAAACTAAAATTTAGCACCGCAGGCTGCTGTCCTGTGTTCCTGCCTTGGCTTCTGACCTTAGCAGTGAACAAAACAGACAAGCTGTGTCCATTCTAGCAGGGAGAAACAGACAAGAAGCAAACAGAACACATAAGTAAGTCATACAGTATGTATGGTGAATATGCGAATATTGTACGAATGCATGAACGAATGCATATAACTTTAGTTTTCTGGGCCTCAGCCTCCTCACCTGTAAAATAGGGATAGTAATAGTGCCAACCTCATAGGGCTGTTGTAAGAATTAAACCAGGTAACCTGGGTAAAGCACTGTGTGTGTGGCACATAGTAGGTGGTCAGTTAATTTTGTTCAAGCCTTGGGGAGAATCTGACATTTAAACAAAGCCTTGAAGGAAATAAGGGAGTTAAAGGTGTGGCTATTTAGGAAGAGAGTGGAAACAGCCTGTGCTAAGGCCCTGAGGCAGGAGCATGCTGGGGACATTAGAGGGACAGAAAGGAGGCCAGCGGGGCTGGAGCAGCTCAAACAAGGAGGGGCGTGGTGGGGAGTGAGGTCGGAGAGCATCCTTCAGATTGTAACCTGGAGCTGGTATTGTACGTGCATCATGGGGTTACCAGGAGGATTAAACAAGATACCGAGCGCGAGGAGCCTAAGGCAGGCACACAGTAGGTGCCCAACAAATGCCCAGTCCCTTCTCTGCTGTGGGGGGTTCCCCGCCCATTATGCCCCCGATTACAACGTTCGTTGAGCAATTCCGCCCCCTGGTGGTGGCTGTGATGATGGCTCAGAGACAGGGTCTGATGCCTCCCGGGCTGGAGTAGCAGTGTCCGTCCCCCTGCCTCTGGGCAGAGGGCTGGAGAGTGTCCCAAGGAGGGACCCTGCCCCTTCCCCAGCCTCGTCTGGTTCTTTTTCTTGCTGCTTCCTTCTCGCTGACAACCTCCGAAGTCTATTTCTTCTCCCCGCCATCTCAGTTTTTTTAAAGAAATCCTTTAAAATTGCCAACACTGTATGAAAATAACAGAAGCACAAGGAAAATATTTCCCATAATCCCCTCCCCCGAATTCAAAGGAGTGTTTTCATTTGTCACTGCTTGTCTGGTCTCCCTCTGGTCTTTGCGTAGGGCGTATTCACGTTGATGTAGATCAGGGATTTTTTTTTTTGGAGACAGAGTCTCACTGTGTTGCCCGGGCTAGAAGAGTGCCGTGGTGTCATCCTCGCTCACAGCAACCTCAAACTCCTGGGCTCAAGTGATCCTCCTGCCTCAGCCTCCCGAGTAGCTGGGACTACAGGCATGCGCCACCA